CTTCACATTTTGCATTAACTGTCAGACACTATCTTAATCGTAAATTTGAATATAAATGGATCGGCCGTGGCGGTCCCGTTTCTTGGCCACCTAGGGTATATATATATAAAAAACATAGTTTATTTTCTGCTTTAAGCTGCTTAAATGATATCACCACCATGTATAGGTGGAGCGCTTGGTGATCTGTAGAAATATAATGGCTTATTTAGGGCTTTCTTAGGCCATTTCCACTATACTATATGTATATCAGACATTTAGGTGCAAGATGATGCCAAAATTTCGTGTTTTTCGTCCCGTTTTTGCTCATATCTCGGTAGCAAAAGGTGCAAGAACGCTCATTTTTACATCATTTCATAGAGAACTAAATGGCCTTTTAGAGAGTGCGCCATCGATAAGGAAATGTTGGCAGTTTTCTCAAAAAAGTCTTTTTTCACGACGTTTTAGATTTGCGTCTTCTTTTTTGAGTGGCAAAATGCTTTTTTCGAAGTTTCTCGGGCCCCATTTGAGCCGCAGAGTGTAGTAATAGCAATCCAAAAATAGTTTATAAACATTTATTTTGCATATATGCAGTATATAAAGTTACCAAGTATGAAGGTAGTTAGCCAAAGGTACATTCTTTATTTACTAGCGTGAATCAAAATTGCCGCTTTATTTAATTTAATGTTGTGACGCCAATTTTCCAATTAGGAAAGCTCTTCCATCGTTTTCTAATATTTTCCAACATTTAATATGAAGGTAGATTTGCTCATATTCTCTAAAAATTATGTTCCAGGCAATACTAACGAGAAGTTTGTAGATGTCGCCTTCGTGTCGCCTTAAGTATGGAGGCGCTCTTACAGATTTTATACTTTTCAGACTTTAGCCTTTAGATAGCCACTTAATGCTGCATCCGCGCATGCTCAACGCGACAATACCGCGACACAATGCGCGATGCGCAGGCGGCACCAACGCGCGTCTGTCGAGTATTTTCTATTATGTTCTTTTTCTAGTGAATACTCACGAATTTAAAATATGCATGTTTCCAGTGTGCCTATCGAAAAGTAAACTTTCAGCATAACCCCACGATTCTTTTTGATCTTGAAAAAAAACGTACATACATGTTTCCATAAGCACCTACTGAGCTCCTACCCAACAACACCTACAATATTGTAGGAGTTGTTGATAAACCACGTACACACTTGATATTTTGGTACATGTATTCGAGTGTCGCGGGCGTGCCGCGTTCGGATCTCGTTTAGTCTGGACGCGGCATTAGATTACGTCCATTTGAGGTCCAATTAATATCCGTAGATTTCGATTCATTGAAACAGTTAGCTAAAAAATTGTTTGTGGATAAAATTAATGCCCCAGAGAACTGAATTCAATTGCTCTGTTTAGAAATTGTTTTTCTATTTTCTAAAAGGGAAGACAAAGAAAGGTCTTTCCACTGACCGAAATATGTACCTACTTTCCATTGGAAATTCATCAACTTTGTAATTTTTAACTTTAGTAGTAGCTGCCACATTCTTCTCTTTTGTCCCATAACATTTTCTGTTAGAGCAGCCCTGTTAGGTACGGCCCAGCTCGGCCTGTACAAAGCGGTATTTTAACAAAAAAATACATTAAACTCGGAAAAGTTTTATTTAAACTTTAGGCGACATTATAACAGTTACTTTATGGATTTGCGTAACACCATTCCACGAGCGCTGTTAGTTTCTCAGGATGACCGATCCAAAATTCGTTGAATCGATTTTCCTTTAGAGCGTCGCCAACAGAAGCAGGAACATTGTTCATCACGACATAAAGAGCATCTTTCACAATTTCGTTCGTTAACCATTCTGGGCCAGCACCAGTAATATTGACCTGAAGCGAATTTTGATTTATCCCCCGTAAAGTGATTTAAGAATTACATACCTCAACTTCCTTCACGCTCACATTCAGTGTGAAGTCATCCAAGTGGGTCTTTATGCCTTTGTCTGCTTGTCCTGGCTTGGTGAGGTTGAACAAGCCAGTAAAATCGGTATGGTCAAACGCAATTCTAAAGAATATCAATTGTGGAAGTTTATTTGAAAAAAATGCTGTCTGTGGAAGACTTACGAGTAACTGCCATTTCCTCCAATTTCTGCGCCAAGAAACTCAACTGACCAAGCATAGTCTCCGGTAAAGTTCAATACTTTCCAGTAGATATCGTAGTCAATGTTCAAAGCGTCTGGATTGGTGTAGGTTGTAACGTCTACTTGTCTGAGTTCCACATCGACCAAGTGAGCAAGCACATTGTTCGTAATTTCTATGTGGTAGCTAAATTAGGAAATTTTAGTAAAAATACGGCTTCGAAAGTATGTATGTCTTGTTTTGTTGATTTCGAGGTTTTTCTAAGTGGCGATGAACTTGAATTCGTCAATATTTCAATATCTACGTACTTAATGCATGGAACTTCAATCAAAACGATTAATTTTCTTGATCGCTCTGATCTTCTTTTGATTCTATATTACATTAATTAGTTGAATAATATCAGAAAGCGTTATTCAGAAGAGTTTCTAATTAGTAGCAGAGCTTCGGAAGATTTGTTACTTGGGGTTTTGTGGATAAAAAGTATTTCAAGTTTCAGAACTATGCATCTTTGTTAACCCGATTTGAGATCTATGCTTAAATATCATTAGATACATGGTGCTGGCAACGAAAATATAGAAGCATCTAAAAAATCTACTTTTTTAAAACTATAGCCTATATCTTTGACCAACAAGCACGTTAGCTTAAGACACTCTGTATGTTTTTTTAGTTGTTTCATGCTTTAAAAAACCACCGGGAAAACACCAAATTTATAGAATAGGAAATACCCACTTTCTTATTGTATAGTTAAAAAAAAATTACTTACCTTAGTCCTAAAATTTCCTCGGTAATATTGAAATTCCTGATGTGTAGTGGATTATGGGGAGGAACAAGCCCTTCAATCCCACTAGTCATAGCCCTGATGGTGCAATTTACGAATTCGTATACAACGTCGGTATCATTAATAGCTATATTTCGGAAATTGAAATCATCATCAACGAATGAATTGCCAGTTTATTTGCACTTACCAAATGAGTTGCTAAAGAGGGTGAATAGCAATACCGCAAGTATTGTGCCTTTCATATTGACGCACTATAATATCGACTATCAAATAAAATGTTCGTATCCTGGTTAGAAATTATATAGGACTGAGTATTTTCATATGGACGAAACTTTATCTCAACAAGGTTGGATTTGATCTGAAGAGGATGTAAAATAATCAATTCACTCGTCAGCATCATGATTTGACAAGTTTCATTGTTTTATTATACCGGGTGTTTTATCTTTGCAATTAATTATTTATCAATCAAAGTCGAAAAAGTCATAGATATTGTTAAGAAAACACCATTTGGATAATAGGTACTTGTATTAGTGGGTGTTTCCTATAAGTGCTTGGCTATTCTTTTAACGGCGGATTGCCTAGTTCATCCGATCTTCAAGGAAACCCAGCGACGACGTGGAGAAAGCAATTTTTCACTCAAAAAGGGTTTTCATTCCACCGATAGCTCCATACACCTGCTGGCTGATTTGAATGCCAAAAGCTTTCACCGGCCGGTTCCTCTTAAAATAACACTCTCTCAGTATCGTTTGCCAACGAAAACGAAAACGAAAAAAGGCAATTCGTTTTATGTTCAGTTTGATAGCTGGCGGCTAAGGCGTATTACCTAAAATGCATCGTAAATGCAAACTGAGCAAACTCATTTATGGGGCTTCGAGTCAACGATTGCGTAAAGTGGATGCTTGTCTACATGTTGAGTTTCCTAATAAATTGAAATCCACAAAAAGCATGCCAGATGCAACAATCTTAAAATCAACCCATAGTCAAATTTCTATAAAATTAATGAAATGGTAAAGTAACACGGTAAAAAGCGAGAACAATAATTTTCTCCCATTTAAACGAAATGTAGGAAGATTTATATTTTCCTTGTTTTTTTTTAGGCACGTGAAGCTTTGGGAACAAATTCGAGTGGATTTTATGTCGCAAAATATAATTACAACGGAGGGGCTGAAATAATTCACTAGTAATCACAAAATACTTCTTTTGAATTAAAACCTAAAACAACCTAAACCGTTTTTACACCTTGTTCCCAATTAACAAGTGGTTTGCTGATAAAACACCTGTGCACAAGTGTGTGGTATGTAGTTCTACAATTGGAATTATTTTATGGATTTTGATTAAACTGATGTATCACGAGCACTAATTCTGCTATAAAATTGTTAAAATTCCAGCCGGAAATGTGTGCTAACTGAAAATAAAAGCTGAGACATTTTCACATTTTATCACAATTCATCATTGTTTTTAAAATGCTGGAAACAGTGAGGAGGGCAAACGATTTCCTATTGTTACAGGATTGGCTGCATATATAAATGTTCAAAATTTAAAGAAAACGGCCGTTTCCCCGCTCAAACGACCCATCATACTGCCTGCTAATAACATAAATTCTGCATGACAACTGTAGTATGAAAACAGCACAAAGTGCCAAAAGTAAATGAAAACCGTTAATTACTTCAAAAGTCCCATTTGAAATTTTAAAAGTAGCTCTAAACGAAATCAGAAAAGCAGCCGGCTAACAACACGGCATCTAATCAAAATCAAATCTGTATCAGTTCAACTATTTAAATTCCGCCGAAAACTGGCGACGTGATAAAGAATGACGATGCAAACTGAACAAGTGCTTTAATTTAAAATTAACTTCCCGTAAAACAGCTTTCACGCATCAAAAAACCGACCATCCAAACCCTGATTTATCTGTTCGCTTGCTGGGAAAATTATTTGACATTTCAACATTAGACCTTTCGTGATTTGCCATCGTTGATGCAAAGTATGAATTTTCCGGACCCAGAAAATAACCGCCATTTATCTAAAGCAAGACAAACTGCTTCCCTGCCCATTACCATAATTTCCAAGAACCAATTATTATTATCGCCAGCCTCGACCCATTTGCAACCGGCAGATTTTCCCGAAAATAGTTCTCCTGCATCGATTGAACTTGACCCTCAACCTTGGCGGAAACTGCTTTCTCCCGGACGGTGAAACTCCACAGAGTTTTCCCGGCGGCAGCCTGTTGTGCTTTCCTGCAAACAGGTGAAACATGGTTGCCAACTTAATTGTATTACGTTTTGTCTGGGGAGTAAATTGATAATTAATACAATTAGGTTCGGTTATCGGCAACAGAACGAACGATACTTACATAAATGAGTTAATTATTTATCAAACTCGCCTGTTTCTGAGCCAGCACCTTAATATTAATGTAGAATTGGAAAGATCTTAACATCGTTTATTCATTAATTTTTTACATTCATAATTTTTCTATTTCTAAGAGTTCTGTACGGTTCAGTAGCTGTGAACCTAATGAGTCTTAACATGTAGTTTTCTTCTATTAATGATAATAGCAATATTTTGAAAACCTTTATTAGTGTTTTCACTACTCTCGACCTTTTATTACATAAAATTACACTTTCGATTATTTCAGCATTGTAGTTTCTAATAGTGTCACTTTTTCAATTACTTTGTTTTTTCTTACACTCACAATTTAGTCTCTTAAGGGTTCGCTTTTGAGTATACTTTTCGGGATGCGTTGTTATATAATTTCTTATTATTTTCGTTAATTAATTTATTTTCATATGAGTTCAGTTCTCTTTCAGTTCAGAGCTTGCATTTGTATCGTTTTGAGAAATTGGCATAATTCATATTATTACATTTCTCAAAACTTAACTTTCACTTTTATATCAAATACTATTTATGCATAAAAATATGAATTTGCTATCACTTCTATTTCTATAAATGATCATCTATATTTTGGTGTCTCGATCAAGTATCGATGGAGTTGTTACTGTTTTTCTCTCGTTTTTCTAGACACTTTATATACAAATTAAACAACCTCTCTTGATAGTTGAAATTTTCCTCGCCATTCTTTTTATTTGACTGAAGTTGCTTGATATTAATGCAAATGTCCAAAGCGGGTGAAATGAAAACAATTATTGAAACTGGAACTCGTGAGTTTTCAAGATTTTAAAGATTTAAAAACTGTTTCACTAGTTTTAGGCAACGGCCGGGAAATAAAATATGAATTAAACAAACTTAATTTTTTTTCTTCTTGACTAACTTTCCCATTTTAATGGGAAATCTTGGGAGTGTGTGAAACGGACGTTTAGCATTTGAAATTGACAAAGAGAATGGTTTGAGTGGCAGTATTTTTACTAATTTTAAGGATTTTTATTTTCATTGCGTAACAATTTAACTCATCAATAAGTCCATTGTTCACAATTGAACTTCCATATCAATTCCTATTTAATTTTCCGCGTTTTTCTTCAAATTATTTGGAGTGTTGGCATCTAGATTTTTCCCATTCAATTTATTATTTTCTCCAACTAAAAGTTTTAGAGAAATTGGCGGTTTTTAGTAACATTCTAGAGCCGAAAAAAAATTTGGCAGCATTGCTGCTATTAGCAAATTGGCACGATGGCTGGCAAGGGAGATGGGGGACAAAAGCGTATATAGATGCTGTCGCATTTCTCTCTTTGTTACTGGCTTTTAGTCGTTTTTTGTTCCCCTCATGTGTGCCTTTATTATCATTCGTTCTGGATTCAGGCAAAAATGTAATTTCACACCTACGGAGAAGCGAAGGGCTATTGAGTTCTGAATGACAATAGATGAAAAGCGAATTGGAATTTCCGACAAAAGTTAGTTCTTCTAATGCATCAGATAGAAAGAAGTATCAAGTCTGGAAGGCTGGAAATATGAGTTTTCATTTGACTATGTTTTGCAGTATCTGTTGCAAAACGTTTCAAACAGAACATTCTAGAATGCAGCTGGAGTATTTTTATTAAATTTTTCGTCATATCGGTCTTTATGACAAAAAACTTTGTCGCATTGAAGTATGCTTATTTATTTTGTTAATCATAAAGAACACTTTGAACGGAAATCAAAAGCAATTTTCAGTGATGCTTTTCGAAAACGAAAAGCTAATACGAAATATCCGGAATATTGCTTGGAATCTCAGGGAGCCACTGAAACGTTTTCACATACTTTCGTTATGCTCTCGTGATTTTAAAATAAATTTATGTTTTTCGGCGTGTAACCCGAACCTGCTAGTTTACTTGAAAAACATACAAAAACCGGAATAATGTCGGCAATGAAATATTCGATTCTGCAGCATGTTGAAGTGAGAGCCATTTTTTACAAAAATTGTGAAATCATTATAAAAACTGTGTGTTTTTAATCATTTTTTCGAAAATAAAAGTTCAAAGAATTATTAAACACATTTGAATAAAAAAGAAGAAGGTTTTTGTACAAACTTTCATTTTATTCCACGCTACCAGTGTACTCTATTTGCTTAAATTTCCTTTGAAAATGCACATTTTATTACGTTTTGGAAACTTTTTTATTCATACTATGTTGTGTCACACTATACTCAAGTGTCTGGAATATTTTGCTTCATTTTGATAATCTGTATGTAGAAGCAATTTCGTTTATCTTTGAATTTGTCATCGATCGACTAAAATCGCAAAGTAAAAAGTCGAATGTGTTGGTCTTGTCGAAGAACTCCCGTTAGCTGTGGAAATAAAAATCTATTAGGTCGATTTTCGATTAAATGAATCGCTTTGGTATCTAGTCGGACATTATTTATTTGAAGCAAAACTGATAAATTCGAAGTTGGATGGTTGAAAACTCAACGTTGAAAGTTAATTTAAAAAGTGTGAAAAATTGCTGAAAATTGTTGGAAACATTCGGAAAAGTGAAAGCTGCGCTTTTTTTAAGTTTGTGCAAGTGTTTCACAAATCTGCAGACACTAAAATATTCAACACTTTTATCTGTGCAATTGCTTCAATTGGGAAATCGGTTAGTTAAAATTAAATAGTGGAAATAACTTTAGTTTACCATTAGCATATCTTGATAAAAGTTTAGTCAACAACTTTTGCTGATGTCTTTTTGTCTATGCGTTTCATTTCTAGGCTATTTGATGTTTTTAACATCAATTTATGTATCCTTTACTTTTGGTATGATTTTACCCTTTATCGATTCTGTGATAAGCAGAAAATCTTTCCTATTTATAACGCCCACGAATTAAAAACTGTTGCGTATTTTATAAAGCGACTGATTTGGTTCTGGAACAGTCGCACGTTTATGGGCACGTGGCTAATCAAACGACGCCAAGCTTGAGGATTTAACAGTTGGACATGAATATTTCCCAGAACTGAATAAATAAT